TTCTCTCTCTCTCTCTACAAAGAAGAATCTTCGTTTTTATCTTACAAACATGACGTTCTTCCTCGAGATAAACGAGTAACGATCAATTTTACTAACCTTTTGTGCTTTTATACCGATCGACAGGAGCCATGTTCGAGATCCGTTATCGAAGGAGAATCGTCGTCGTTACTTCAAATCGCGTGATTTAACGTCCTGGCGATAAATTCGTCGTGAAATCAGCATCGGGACAACGTTTCAACGTTTTCCAGGAATGGAGACCGGAAATTATTCGATTTTAGTGATGTACAGCCTTGGCCCGTTTTCTTCTCTCAGTTTTTGCGATTCGCACGGCCTCCAGCTTCCTGAGGACAAACATACCGAATTTTTTCCTCTCTCTCTTTCTTTTTTTTTTTTTTTCTTCACGACTGGAATTGGTGAATGGGATTTGCTCGACAAATCACGTCGAGTACAGCTGTTGCAGATACAGAGTGTGTTGGCCGTGCTTACGGAGTGCACAAAAATAGCAGTCTAAAAATAGCGAAAATTTTGATATCTCGAGTAAATGTGCGCGGCAAGGAGAAACTGCTACACAACCAAATCGATAGTTGACTGGATTATTTGTTTGTTTTAAATTTTGGAAGTTTACCACGTCGTTGTATATGTTATCAATTAGATCTGGCTGTGTTCAATTCTGTATTATTTGTTAGTACGGCTATAAAAATTATGGCACGTAAAATGAACCGATGAAAAAAGTCGTTTCGTTAGAAGAAAATGAAAATCATCGTGTTACGTATCGTTACATATTTTACCATAGTATTTGATTATGATAAAATACGTATATATAAATTACAGTATAATATTTATTATATAGCAAAATACGTAACGATACACGTAGAATCTCGTAGATGTGGACATAAATAGTGATGCTTCTATTTCGAGGATGAAGATACATTATCGGATATATTAGATCAGGTTTAAAAGAAGCTCCCGGCAAATACGTGTACAGCATCGATCAATCGGAGGATTCTTTTATTTGCTCCTCGATTCCTTAACTTTACAAATAACTTGGAAACTTTTATCCGCCTACGCTGGCCCGTGTTCATTCGATGTTTTACCAATCGATTACCTTCTCCATCTTGGTCCCTGGATAATCGCAGTGAAACGTCCTTTAGCATCGTTGAGTTCGAAACAAGAAAACCGCGATTCCTCGCCTCTTTCCGAGGGAATTACAGAGGACCGCGAATAAATTGTTTTCGACGAATGAAAATTATTTGACCTACAGGAGCTCCATCATAAGGAATCATTTCCATACTCGTGTATTGTTGATTGCTTAAAAATAAGATTGTTGTACATATACGTCAGCGTTTCTAGTGATCAAAATGACGAAATTAGTGCAGCAAGTAGAGCCGACTGTGGATTGTATGCAAGTTTTAATTACTTTTATGGGCAAAAAAAAAAATTTTTATGGTCTAAAAAAAAAAAAAATAGAATAGAATAGAGAGATTAACAAATAGAACTTTTTACGTAACAAGTTCAAGTTCAAATTTACGCTATAAAATGAGAGTTACGTCGTTAATTAATGATTTCAAGATTAATTAAAGTGTACAGTACGCTTCGAACGAAAATGATTTTAACCAGCACCCAGCACGGAATGCAAAGCACACAACCGCCAGTTAAGTCCGATACGGAAGAAACGCCAAGTTCGCGTGCACGGTGGTTCGACTAATTTGTATTCGTCCACACGTCTTCCATTATTTGAAATTTGCAATTCGGATGCGGACGGTGTTTAACAGTTTCAGAGACGAATGACCAGAGTGACCGCTGCAGACGAGTTAAACCGAGGCGAGAAAGAACCTTGCTGAGCTTATCAAAATCACCGTGCAAGAGCGATTTAACGCGCATCCTCGGCCACAACGCGGTCATTTCTTTCTCGGTTTCGGTCCCCGTAACGATCGAAATTAATTAATTAATTCGGTCAATTTCAAATAATAAATTTATTATTAATAATTTTAATAATTTCTACCTTAATAATTTCTATCCAGTGATATCATACTGATCACCGACGAACTTGAAACTTAAAACGAAAGCGACGAATTATTGTATATATGGTTTGGTCACTCGTTATGGTCCGCGAATCAATTGCCAGCGCAAGAGGTTAACCTTTGTCCCAAAATTGCAATATTTTCTCAGTTTTAACTATATTTAAATATAACCGAGGCGAAACAAATAATAAATTTATTACTTCTTAGTAATAATTTCTATCCAGTGATATATTATACCGATGAATTCCAAAAGAAAGCGACGAATTGTTGTATACGGTTTGGTCACTCGTTATGGTCCGCAAATCAATTGCTAGCGCAAGAGGTTATCCTTTGTCCCAAAATTGCTATATTTCCTCAGTTTCAAGTATATTTAAATATAACCCAGGCAAAACAAATAATAAATTTATTACTTCTTAGTAATAATTTCTATCCAGCGATGTCATATCGACGAGTTCAAAAAGAAAGCGACGAATTATTGTATATATATTTGAGTATATATGATTTGGTCACTCGTTATGGTCCGCGAATCAATTGCCAGCGCAAGAGGTTAATCTCTTGCGTTGGAATGACGCACGTCGAAAATTTTGTTGTTCCAAAATTGCAATATTGTCTCAGTTTTAAATATATTTAAATATAATTTAAATATAACCCAGGCAAAACAAATAATAAATATATTACTTCTCAGCGATGTCATATCGACGAGTTCAAAAAGAAAGCGACGAATTATTGTATATACGATTTGGTCACTCGTTATGGTCCGCGAATCAGTTGCCAGCAAGAAGTTAAGCCTCGGCTTGATGTTCTTCGTTGCCTCAACGCGATTTTACGATTATAGCGTGCTGTTTAATTGGTCGAGTGCTCGCCTGAGAGCAGAATGTTACGCGTTCGCTGATTCTACGATCGTAACACCGATCATGCGAACGTGAATTTCCGAGGCACGTGGCCATTCAGATGGAGTCGATACGGCAGAGTTTGAAGATCTTCAGAAGTCGCTAGAAAGTTGGGTAAACTGTCGTTAAATTTTGCAATCAAAATTTAACCTGTTGGTTTTTCTTTTTCTTTCAGCTTTCACACGACGCTTTACTTGAATTATTTCGAGCCATTAATTCTTGCTTCGTTTGATTCGTTTGATTCCGATGTACCGTTCCTATATTTGGGATATTCTTGCGTTAAACATGTTTTGGTGAATATAAGTAGGAAATAATGGTGATAATCGATATTGGACTTGCGGGCGATTGTAGGTCATGAATACATATTTATCGAGATCTCTTCGTAAAGCGGCGGTAGTTGGTTATTCATTTCGGTTCTAGCTCAATTTCAACCCTTCTCTAGTCTGACCGCGTGCAATTTAAAGCTCTTTCACTTTGATGTTTAACCGGGAAGTTAAAATTACTTTTTCCGAACTTGTTAAGTCAATATCGGCGTTCTTTAATATTCAACACGTTTCTGTAAACTTTGCTTGTTCGCTTAACCGGCTTCGCAACCATTCTTTTTTTGTTTTCCTTTTTTCTCCCTTTTTTTATTTGCTTCGCGGTGTGACTCTTAGTTTAAATCGTCCTCCAACTGAACGACCGAATGCGCATGAGTTATATTATATTTAGCAACGGAAATATTAAATTTACGACGCTTCAAGTTATCGAAATGTTTATTACTGCATATTACATTTATATTACTTGCAATGTAATACCTATCATATAGTTTACGCTTACATTTATTTAGTGGAATGTTGTATCAATATTTGGATAATTCTCTTCAGACGGAACCTAACATTACAACTTCTTCTGGTGTAAGTAATCATCCGAAGGCGACAATCTGAACACGGTACATACGACGATAGGTTATCCGTTCACTTAGATCATAGTGTGCACCCGTGTTCACTCGCTTGGCTTTCTCTATCATTTTTTTTCACGCATCGTAAGGCAGCTTCAGTCGACGTTAGGTGGAAG